TGCCCTAACGTGAGTTCGGCACCCATCAGAGCAGAGTAGAATCAAAGACATTCTACTCGAACTCGCGACATTCGAGTTAAGAATCAACCGTTAGGCCATACCGTCCCATACTGGTGACTATAGTATTGAATGTTTCTTTTTTTCTTGCAAAAAAAGCCCTAACCACTCCAACTCACCCCCACCCCAGTACATGTTATTTTGGTGTGTATTGGTTATCGCCCTTGCTGCACTTTGTGTATTACCTGTCGGGTTAACTCTAACGCCCTCTAACGTCCTCCCCTACCCACCCCCTCACCCCAACATCTATGTTGGTTCACGTGACACACATTCTCCGCGTGACACGTGGTCTTGTTTAAGTTCACGAATTCTTCACGTTTTGTTCAATAATGTCACAGAGAAAAAAAAAAGTTTAAAAAAAAAATATTTCTAACTTTAGGTCTATTCCAGTAATCTTTTTAACACGCTTCAAAACATAAAAAATACACTCATTGTTTATATAACAATTTGTTTCGTTCCTTCCTGCTTTTAACGTCTACACCTGATTTTTTTTTTATGATTACCGAATCGTCTTATTAAAATTCGAACATGTCTCAATACGTGTGTCGAAAGACAAGATATGAATCTATCATCAAAGGGAAATAAATCTCTCGACTTGCCAATACTGCGCGGGTTACATTTCCCTTCAATTATTCCAAATATTCCGTGAAATTTTTTTTTACTGCTAAACCTGAAACAAACACCTCAGCAGAAAATTGAAGCGTCTTTGTTCTATACACCATGCAGTTATTTTTTTTTTTTTTACACTAACGTAAGATAAACATTTTTAAAAATAGGTACAAATCATGCGAAGTTGGGAAGTGAATTTTTTTAAAGCTATTGATATTGGGTACCGAATAGTTTCCCTTAAACCAGCAACCATGTATATGTAATTGACTGCATTAGGTGTAATTTGTTACTTTAGATGTAATTGATTTTATAAAAGGTCATTGATGTAATGTGGTTCAAACATCAAATCAATTACATTTAATGTAATTGGTTACCTCTGGTTTAAAACAAAAAAATCAGTGTAATGGGTTATATTATATTTAAAGTGTTAATTCATGTATTGGGCTACGATAGACGTATTGGATTATATAATACGAGCCGGCCCGCGGCATAACATACGCCGCTATTTAGTTGTTGTTTTTTCTACTTTTCAGTAATCCATAATTTGTGAATTCGACAGTACCAACGCTGACACTGAAAATATTTCTTTAAAACACTATAAGTAGCTTGTTAAGGACCCCTCCCCCCAACGTTTAAAATCGTTTCAAACTAAATTATCTGCCCCTAATAGCCGTTACTAAACCTGACTCCACGAAGGTAAACATAGCGTGAACCACAGCTCACTAAGACCATGTAGGGGTGGGGATGGTAGGGAGCGCGTTTACAGCTTGTTTTCTAGCGTCTCCCAGAAGAGAATTATATATATAGATGTGCTGGATGTAATGTGGTACAAAGAACAAATCAATTACATCAGATGTATTTGGTTTAAGGGAAAATTCAGAAGAGATGGATTACATTATATTTAACGGATTAAATAATATGTAATGGGTTACATTCAATTTATTTATTTATTTATTACGGTTACAACAGTAGGCACGGAGGTCTTTTTTTACACATTGACCGAACAAACAAAATATTGTAATAAAAAGCAATAAAGGAGTAAATACATATATACATTATATTTAGTGAATTATATTAGATGTGATGGACGTAATGTGTACAAACAAAAAATCAATTACATCCGATGTAATTTATGTAAAAGGAAAAATATGATGTTATGGATTACAATAAATATAATTACATATAATGTGATTGCTTACATGATATGTAATCCTTATATCAGAAAAAAAAATTTAATGTGATATATAATATATAATAGGTCAAATCATGGGTTAAATAAAACCTAAAGATTGTATCAGATGTAAAAGATTATATCGTAAGAAATGGTTTTTATTATATGTAATGTATTTGTAAGATTGTAATATCTGTTTTTTTTTTAATTGAAGCTAAATATGTTTTTCTAAGTATAAAATCACAAACTCTGTTCATAGCAATAGCGCTAAAAAACACAATCCATAATCAAATGCAACGAGTTACATAAGATGCAATGCGTTACATCGATACATAAAACGTAATAGATTACAAGATCATATACCCATTTCAGGCATTGTTCAGTTTACACACGATATCAATTGACTACATGAACACCTGAAGTGTTTAAAAACATCGTGGGTGGAGATGATATACACTTATCGTGAGCATTTATTTCAAGCAATCAATCTAAAAATAGCTTTCATATCTCTTGGCAATGATGGGTTTTGCTTACAAAGTTAGAGAGTTTGTGTAGATCAGTAGTAGGGTATGATGTGAGACTATCTTCATAATAGATGGGTTTTGCTTACAAAGTTAGAGTTTGTGTTTTTCAGTAGTAGGGTATGAATTTTGACCATATTCCTGATAGAGTCGGTATAGCACAATGCAGAGGCGTAGCGACCCCTCCCGGCGCCCGGGGACAAACTTTCAATTTGCCCCCCCCCCCCCCCCAAATATTTTTTTTTTATATTAATTATTCAAAACTGCAGCCAAAATGAGCTTTTAATTTTTTGTTCAACCCATTTTGGCGCCCTTAGGGTCGGCACCCGGTGACATATTTACCCCCCCCCCCCCCCCCGTCGCTACGCCTCTGACACAATGTTTAAAATAGTAGTTGTTGTGATGTTAGTACTGGTAGTTGTAGCAGTAGAAGTGGGTGTGTCAATAAAAAAACATGTTTGTTTTTAAAATGTATGTAGCTGTTCTCTCTGTAGACTAGCCAACACAAAGTGGATACACATGAGCGAAATTCAGACATACACGCGCGCACACATACACGCATGCACACACACACACGCGTGTGTATATGTATGTACACACTTATATATCGTACAGTCACTAAACATATTCAAAAAGTTGATCTAATGATCATATGATGACGATTTTAGCATTACGTGCTAATAGGGTTAGACTTAGTATAAGAAGAGGTGAAGGCTGTTTGTTAAGTTGAGCATGTACTATATAAACGATTGGAAACAGGACTTAGATAATTGGTCAACAGATTTAATGAGCACGTGTCAATCACCTAAAGGAACAAATTACGATGCCATGAACTACGTACACGATATTATGAGTCAATAATCAATTTAAAAAAAAATAAATGTAGTAAATTGTTTACTCTCTCTAGTTTGTGTAAACATTCAACTGTTCATGATACCATTGGAAGATATTTTGTATCTATCATGTGCTGTCAGTGTTAATGTTTAGGAGATACTGTATTAAACGTATGAAAGTTTGTTATGTCCGTATTTTTTGTTAGGTTGTAATGTCCGTATTTGTTTGTGAAACATTATGTGAAACATCCAACTGCTATCTAGGTGAGTGATCATAAGAGGATCAAAATTATTCACATAGTTTCAGGAAATGAGCTGTGGAGCAATACGTTACACCCATTCACAATTAAATTCTTTTGAAAGATGAATACAATAAAAACAAAAACGATGGATATTACGCAATGACTGATTCCAATGACAATGTTTACAATGTTAATAACATTCCCTACGAAAAATAAAAAATGAATTAATTTATTATTAATTAGTATCAGCTTTAGGGTAACATCAGGAGAATCTAATTAAAATTAATTTTTACAACGTAGCTATTTGTGAGGTTCTATTTTCAGAACATAGCAGAAATTATACACCTTCGAGATGCAGTGTTATTTTTCAAGGATGTATTTTTTTCTTTTTCTTGTTATTTTTTTATCCTCTTTATCTTCTTTTCTTTCTCTCTCGTATATACAATTTACCGAAGCTAATTCTTAATAAACTTTCTTCAATGATGGTCTTATTCCTTAATTTTTTGTTACTCCTACCTAACTTCAGCGACTGTATTTTGTAACTGCCTTTGTTTTTATTTTAAATAAAAATTACACTTTCTCACCTGACGGTTATTACCGTAGATAAAGGGTCAGCGTGGTCGAGTCAGTAAAGCTCATGGTTGCTAAACCGAATAGTCTCGAGTTCGAACCCTCGGGTTGAAATCGGAGTCAATGGCCTCAATGGCGCATAACCAGTTGACACGTATCCTTAATTGTACTGGAGAGGATCCCTTCCAACACTAAAATTAAGAACGAAGAAGTAGAAGAAGAAGACCGTAGTCACGTTTGCGGGTATGTGTTATACATGTGTCCGATAATCACAAAATAATTGAATATTCTTCTTAAAAAGTGTGTTAAATGAATGTTAGTTAACTAAACACACATCTAACTTGTTAATATCAATGCTACTCCTATCTCTAACCCTTACCACAACCCAAGTCTTACTAAAGCCCTAACCGTAATGTCTAGCCATAAAACTAAACCTGTGATTACATGTCAGCTAACAACTTAACACACCTATTTTCGGTACAGTCTATTGCCGGGCATCGGTAATACCAATGATCCAAATCAGCAGTTGTTTACAAGACAATAATATTCAAACATTTAACATAATCTTACCAAAAAAAAAATAATATGCACTTTAGATATTCGAGCATTGGCATTATAGATGCATCGCTATGAAATGTTAGAAAGAAATCGGTTCATTATAAATGGATCAAAATTGACTAACATTATTTGACCACCAAAAAGGATCCGGATATTGTGATAGAAGAAAAAACTAGTAAAAAACAATGAACATGTGCTTAATTAACTTATTGTTGATTTGGTAATCAATCAGAACCAATTGTTCTTATTGAGCTAGTTCAAACATATAACGTTTCGTAAGAGAAAGTGATTACAGATCAGGGAAAGGGGCGAAATCACGTGCTAAAGGTCACAGGTCACCGACGCTGGGTGAAATGTTAAGAGGTAACGAACCGTTAGGTCGAAGCGATTAGGTAATCGATGACTGTCTCGATTCACTCACACAAAGACGCGGGATCGGTCACGTGCGGATCTTGGGTAGTGATGAGGTAGTGAGGAGCTCTTGGGTAGTGAGGAGGTAGTGAGGAGCTCTTGGGTAGTGAGGAGGTAGTGAGGAGCTCTTGGGTAGTGAGGAGGTAGTGAGGAGCTCTTGGGTAGTGAGGAGGTAGTGAGGAGCTCTTGGGTAGTGAGGAGGTAGTGAGGAGCTCTTGGGTAGTGAGGAGGTAGTGAGGAGCTCTTGGGTAGTGATAAGGTAGTGAGGAGCTCTTGGGTAGTGAGGAGCTCTTGGGTAGTGAGGAGGTAGTGAGGAGCTCTTGGGTAGTGATAAGGTAGTGAGGAGCCCTTGGGTAGTGAGGAGCTCTTGGGTAGTGAGGAGCTCTTGGGTAGTGAGGAACTCTTGGGTAGTGAGCAGCTCTTGGGTAGTGAGGAGGTAGTGAGGAGCTCTTGGGTAGTGAGGAGCTCTTGGGTAGTGATGAGGTAGTGAGGAGCTCTTGGGTAGTGAGGAGCTCTTGGGTAGTGAGGAGCTCTTGGGTAGTGAGCAGCTCTTGGGTAGTGAGGAGGTAGTGAGGAGCTCTTGGGTAGTGAGGAGCTCTTGGGTAGTGAGTAGCTCTTGGGTAGTGAGGAGCTCTTGGGTTGTGATGGGGGAAGTGAGGAGCTCTTGGGTAGTGAGGAGCTCTTGGGTAGTGAGGAGCTCTTGGGTAGTGAGGAGGTAGTGAGGAGCTCTTGGGTAGTGATGAGCTCTTGGGTAGTGAGGAGGTAGTGAGGAGCTCTTGGGTAGTGAGGAGGTAGTGAGCAGCTCTTGGGTAGTGAGGAGCTCTTGGGTAGTGAGGAGCTCTTGGGTAGTGAGGAGGTAGTGAGCAGCTCTTGGGTAGTGAGGAGCTCTTGGGTAGTGAGGAGATAGTGAGGAGCTCTTGGGTAGTGAGGAGGTAGTGAGGAGCTCTTGGGTAGTGAGGAGGTAGTGAGGAGCTCTTGGATAGTGATGAGCTCTTGGGTAGTGAGGAGGTAGTGAGGAGCTCTTGGGTAGTGAGGAGGTAGTGAGCAGCTCTTGGGTAGTGAGGAGCTCTTGGGTAGTGAGGAGCTCTTGGGTAGTGAGAAGGTAGTGAGCAGCTCTTGGGTAGTGAGGAGCTCTTGGGTAGTGAGGAGATAGTGAGGAGCTCTTGGGTAGTGAGGAGGTAGTGAGGAGCTCTTGAGTAGTGAGGAGGTAGTGAGGAGCTCTTGGGTAGTGAGGAGCTCTTGGGTAGTGAGGAGCTCTTGGGTAGTGAGCAGCTCTTGGGTAGTGAGGAGATAGTGAGGAGCTCTTGGGTAGTGAGGAGGTAGTGATGAGCTCTTGGGTAGTGAGGAGCTCTTGGGTAGTGAGGAGCTCTTGGGTAGTGAGGAGCTCTTGGGTAGTGAGCAGCTCTTGGGTAGTGATGAGGTAGTGAGGAGCTCTTGGGTAGTGAGGAGCTCTTGGGTAGTGAGCAGCTCTTGGGTAGTGATGAGGTAGTGAGGAGCTCTTGGGTAGTGAGGAGGTAGTGAGGAGCTCTTGGGTAGTGAGGAGGTAGTGAGGAACTCTTGGGTAGTGAGGAGCTCTTGGGTAGTGAGGAGCTCTTGGGTAGTGAGCAGCTCTTGGGTAGTGAGGAGATAGTGAGGGGCTCTTGGGTAGTGAGGAGGTAGTGAGGAGCTCTTGGGTAGTGAGGAGGTAGTGAGGAGCTCTTGGGTAGTGAGGAGCTCTTGGGTAGTGATGAGGTAGTGAGGAGCTCTTGGGTAGTGAGGAGGTAGTGAGGAGCTCTTGGGTAGTGAGGAGCTCTTGGGTAGTGAGCAGCTCTTGGGTAGTGAGCAGCTCTTGGGTAGTGAGTGGCTCTTCTGTTGAGATGTAGTAGAGCTGGGGAAATAGTGATTAGATATTAGATGATTAGGATTGGGGTTTGTATATTCGGTGAAATATTGATAATTTTCATAATCTTAGCTAATATTTTGAATGCTGAGTGAAAAGCTGGTATTAAGATTATATTTAGCTCTTTATATCAGTTTGTAATATTGATAAAATAGGTATTGCACTTTGGCTTTTTAAATGAGTTTGTATTGTGGTCGGATGGTAGAGCATACGATTGCTAACCCGAAAGTCTCGAGTTCGAATCCGGGGCTCGTGTCTGTAGAATGTCGTTGAGTCCACTCAGCTCTGAAGGGCACCCAACCCACTTTAAGGAAAGTAAAGTCGGCTGGGGATTATACTGACAACACCTTCCGTTTATTGTACAAGGTCACTGAAACAGTTGAACTCTACTTCACCTGCTTCCTGTACCATCAGGGTACTTTGCTTGATGCATTGTTTATGCAGATATCCCCTTTAATGTTATATTTAGAACGAAGAGTAAGTCCAAATAGGATCTGTTTTAGTCGAATCTTTCAAGCGCCTAAAAAAACAACTAAACATAATTATTTACTTTAGCTCCACTATAATAAAATGACAGTCAAGCTGCAAGAAAGTCACGCAGTTTTAAATATGTTACACTTTAAAGACACTCCTCAATAAAGGTTATGAAAAACTTCCGCAAAACACCGGACAATTCAAGAAATTTCGCACATTAATTTCTATTTCCCGGAAAGCGAATTTCTGAACTCTCAAAATGAAGATCCTGCAACTAAAGAGAAAAAAAAAATTCGCTAGATTGACGAGTTGACGGAAGCTGCCATCTTGTTCTGTCTCAAAGGGCAGAGGTTACATTTTTAACCGCTGGAAATGTTAATCTGATTAACAGAAGCAAGTGTTGAGCGTAACAGCACAAGCTGCATGAAAAAAAATTATCATGAGAAATCATTTATACAATAACTCTTGGCGTGCTTCACGTGTCAAATTGTATCAGCAGGCGTTAAAAAAATATGGTGCGGTATATAAACGATATATATATATATATATATATATATATATATATATATATATAATTTTACCCTCACGTAAGCTAATGAAGTAAAACACAGAGAATATATGAATACATTATGAGTAATCAAACGTATTGTGCATGTCATTTTCTTTTAATCGAGAAAAATGTATGAAAGTCAGTTTAGTACATCTACAACTACAGCTATGTTACCTGCTTTAGCTTGTATTTGTCGCATTTCTTGGCATACATACACATACAGCTTAGAATATCTACACTTTTATGACATACATACAGGGTAGTGTCTCACATACTCTAAGTATGCACATATAGACTGGGGGCTACAACACTTCAAGACATACATACATATACATACATTAGGCTCCAATATTTCTGGAGGTAGGTTACACATACATTATCGTGACATTTTATACATACACATATAGAATCATGGCTCCAACACTTCTAGATATACACATACATAATTTCGGCTTAACTACCACTGGGGATATGCATACAGTATCTTCGCTACAACGCATTTAGACATTCACATACAGTAACATTGTTTCAACACTTCTAGACATACAGATGGACATACATACTCGTAGTTCTAGCACATATAGACATACACGTAGAATTTGGTGACTCATTATTAATGTTAAAACCACATACACGCAGTTTATTGATTTAGTTATTATAGTCTGGGGGATGGAGTGGTCTATCGGTAGAGAGCTAGACTGCTAACCCGTAATCTCGAGTTCTAATCCAGATTCAAGTCAGTAGACCGTCCAGTAGTCCACCCAACTCTAGTAGGTACCTAACTCCTGTTAGGGAAATCATAGACGGCTGGGCATAGTGCTGACCAAACTATATCTTCATATACCGTGGTCACAGAAACAGATGAACTCTACTTCACTTGCACCATAAGGGAAACATAACTATGATTGTCGATGAAACGAAGCTTACATCAACGAAGCGAAAGGACGAAGAAGTTCCGGCAGCCTTGACCTCCAAGAACCAAGGTGACCTGGAGTGTACTGTTACACCTTGAAGAAAAAGACAGGAGGAAAACAATGGATCGATTGACCCAGATTTTTTAAAAAGAATTCTATAGACCTGATACACTTTGAATTTTAAGTACCTTTTGCAATTAGGAGCTATTAAATGAATCGATTTTGAGACGTTACATTAATAATTATTCATAGATAGTTCTTTAGGTATAGAAGGGTATGTTTGATGTCCAAAGTCTTTGGAGTAAGCAACGTATTTGGGTTAATTAAAAAAAAATTCTAGTTTTATGTTGTTTTTTAAAATTTGTATTTGTTCTATATTTTGTTATAAATAAAAATCTCGTAAAATTACGGTAAAATACATCTTGATTGTTAAATAATTACCGTAATAGTGATTTTATCATTATGAATAATTTAAGTCGAGTTTTTTTTTTCTGTAAAAGTTCTTCCATATAGATTGCTATTCAAAGATGGTTCTTTAATCAAAGTGGAGCAATGTCATTTTTAAAGTAACTATTGCAACCAAGAATCACATTAGATAGTTGATTTAGTTATTTTTGTCTGCTTTTAAGTTTAACATTACTAACCATAAATATAGAACATGTACAGTAGCGAAGTGTGGTCATACTGGAATGAATTTTAAATTTAAAAAAAAAAAAAAACACCTTATCAAAATTGTTGTCGTTTCGTTTTGTATAGTATCCCTGCACTAAAAATAAAGGTTCCACTTGCAAACCCTGACGGTCTATGGGGCAAGTGAAGTAGAGTTTCGTTGTTTCTGTGACATCGCCATATGAAGAGATAGTGTGGTCAGCACTCTGCCAAGCCGCTTTTATTACCTCTAACGCGAGTTAGGTACCCATTAGAGCTGAGTGGACTCAGGCACGGTCGACTGACTTCAAACCGGATTCGAACTCAAGACTTCCTAGTAGCAGTCTAGCTCTATACACTAGGCCACTCCGTCCCCTATACCTGCACTACCAACCATTCAAAAAGAATGTACGAGTTATAGTAACGAGTGGGCGTGTCACCCTATATCGACGTGCAATAATTTTTTTTCTAAACCTTTCTTTGAAGTGGCGGGTCGGATAAAAAGAAAACGATCGACAATGGTAAACCGCGAGGTCGGCGTTTCTTGCGTTCCATCGTTCCGCATGAGTAACCGCGAGCCGTAGCAGAGCGTGATTTATTGTGTGAGAGGTCTGCAAGAACGATTTGTTGAGAGGGGGGGAAGGTGAGTGAGATCGATGCCCAGGGTTGCTTCGATTTGCATTCAGCGATAACTAATTGGATTTTTTTTTAAAACGAGAGCCATTGTCATACCACCGTCTTATTAGTAAGGAATTACTTCAAGGGATCTCACGTTATTACAAAGGAACTTTGTAGTAGATTTAAGGCTGAGAGCAGTTTAATGATAAAGTATTGGTACATTACTGGCGCTTGCGTGGTCGAGTCAGTTAAACTCATGGTTACTAAACCGATAAGTCTCGGGTTCGAATCCTCGGGTTAAAACAACTGCTGTCTTGTAGTTTTTTCATGGTTGGAGGCTATGGAAGCAAATCCAAAAAGAAAAGCTGGCTGAAATCGGAGTCAATAACCTCAATGGCGCATAACCAGTTGACACGTATCCTTAATTGTGTTGGAGGGGGATTCCTTCCAACACAAAAATTAAGAACGAAGAAGAAGAAGAAGAAGTTACATTACTTAGGCAAACTTTATTCTCTGAGTTAACTTTGGTATTTTTTATTACGAGTCGACCCGCGGCATATCTTAGACGCTATTTAGTTGTTTTATTTTCTACTTTTCAGTAATTCATAATTTGTGAATTCGACATTACCAATGCTGCCACTGAAAATATCTGCTTTAAAACACTATCAGTAGGGCGTTAAGGACGATACTACCCCCACCCTCCTTTCCACCAACCCCTACCCTACACCCCCCCCCCCCCGTGATAGCAACCTCCTCTTAGTTACCTCCCCTAAGTTTAAAATCGTTTCAAACTAAATTATCTGCCCCTAATAGTCCTTACTAAACGATTGTTATGTAAACATTTAGCGTGAACCACAACTCACCTGACCATGTAGGGGTTGGTTGGTAGGGAGCGCGCTTACAGCTCGTTTTCTGGCGTCTCCCAGAAGAGAATTATAGATATAGATAGATTATAGACAGCTTAGACGACACGTTTAGTCTCTCGCTCTATCTGTAGTGAACTGCTTTACAGGTACACATCAGCTATACTTCCGCAACAGCCTAAACATTGAGTATACAAGGGACACAACAACGATATATATAATAACGTAACGATAAGAAACAAGAAATAACGTAACAGTGGTTTCCCATCTTTTCTCGTTCGTGCCCAGGACATATACGGCAGATGAAGCAGAGTTTATCTGTTGTAATGACCTCAGCATACACGGGGATAATGTGGTCGGCACTATGCTCAACCGTTTTTCTTTCCCTAACTTGAGGCAGGTACCTATTAGATCTGGGTGGGCTCAAGAACGTTCTACAGATTCGAGCCCGGGATTCAAACTCGAGACATTCGGGTGAAGAGTCGAGTGCTCTACCTCTCAGTCACGCTTTACATATTAAACCATTTGCTGGAGATTTTATTTTATTTTTCTACAAAACTTCAACTTGACCTGAGTGTTACGGGGCTTAGATATTAAAACCCGATGTAAATTAATGTGCTTGCTAATTAAGTCGTGCAAAAGTTCAGAAAGGGAATGTCCATGACCCCGTTATCTGAGATAGTTCGAGAACATGAATCCACGCTGGAGATAAGTACAAGACCCCCCCCCCCACACACACACCCTCTCCGCCCACACTCCAAAAATGAAAGACCAAATTTATAGTTTCAAATTGCTCTCTAGTTAGTTGCTCTTTTAAAGTTTTTTTTTTTTCCTTTCACTCGATAAATAGACGCGCGGTTTGGTTTGTTTAGTGTAGAAATTTTATTTCTTTAAACCACAAAACAACAAATATATATGTCATTTCTGATGTTTTATGAAGACATTTTATTTCTGTAACCACCAAGCAAAGTGTATATATATATATATATATATATATATATATATATATATATATATATATATATATATATATATATATATATATATATATATATATACATATACATATACATATATACACATATATATATACATATATATATATACATATATATATGCATATATATATATATACATATATATATACTATATATTTTATATGTATGTGGTTTGATATGTTCTATAAGTAGGACGTTATGGTCCAATGGTTGAGACTGTAGCTGCTATCCCGAAAGTCTCAAGCGCCCATCTCGATTTGGACTTGTGACAGTAAATTTTCTCCTGATGGGTACCTAACTCACGTTAGGGAAAGTAAAGGCAGCTGGGCATATTGCTGACCACACCATCGCTTCATATGTAGAGGTCAAGTAACACATACACTCTACTTCACCTGTCCAATGGATCGCTACGTCTATTGAAGAATCGTTTATTTGTTATGTTTTGTATGAAATTTATTTGTTTTTATTCGAACATAAAACTATAAACACATACGTGGTTTGCTATTTTGTGTAGAAATTGTATCCCAATTTTTACCGCAACAAAAAAAAAATTGATTGCTTGAGCCTTAAGGCAGCAAATTTTGTCTTATTAACTGTCAATCACACACCGCGGAGGCTGCCCACTCCAGTTGGAGAGCCCCTGTGGCACATAATTAAAACAAACGATCTCATAATCAATAACTGCAGGACGGCAGCTATGTATGGTCTATGTGTAGGCAGCAGCGTATCTATATACCTAAACGTCAGGGGCGGATTCTCTTTTTGTGTAGTTAGAGTTACAAACTATTGAACGGTGTGGTCGAGTAATAGAGTGTTTAAATGCTAGGCCATAGTTCAGATCTCTGCTCAGATGTAACTGTAGGACATCACTGAGTCCATCTAGTTCTGATACCCAGTGTTTCTTCCAAATTTTTTTTTCTCCGGGGTAGGTGGGGGGCACTTGATATTTTTGGGGGGCTGGGCTAAAATTTCCGGGGTGGGGGGGGGCGGACACTGTTAAAATACATATTCTATTATAAATTCCGTTTCGTTCGGGGGGAGGGGGGTACACTCTCTTGGAGGGGGGGGGGGGGCAAACAGATGCCTTGAAGAAACACTTTGTGTATCGACTTACGTTGGGAAAAGTAAAGACGGCTGGTTATAGTCCCTATCACAACAGACATTCATGTGCCGAGATTAAGAAACATATAAAAGCTCTACTTCATCTGCCCTATCGATCGCTAGGTCTAAATAGGATTCTTTGCGTTATAGTCACAAACTACAGCCGTGATTGCTTCGTTAGCGATTGTCATATGGGACGCCCCTACACTCTATGTTTCGTTCCAAAATGCGTTGTTGTTTTTTTTCTCGGTATTATTATCCCAATAGCTAAACATTACTACGTGTGTCTGTGTGTGTGTGTGTGTGTATGAGAGAGAGAGAGATATATATATTGTGTGAGTGCATCTACTTGTGTGATTATAATATGCAGAGGCGTAGCGACCCTTCCCGGCGCCCGGGGACATATGTCCCCCCACCCCCTCCCCTCGCCACGCCTCTGGTATCGGGTCTACATAGCGACCTATGCAGTAAAATAGTGGATTTTATCCACGTATGATTGTTATACGACTCCTTAAGTTTGATAGAAATAAATCTAGTCACGGTCAAAACAAAAAATAACGTGCATTTCAAAATTTCTAACACAAAGACAATATAGACTCTCAATATCTATATAGACTCTCAATATCAATATAGACTCTCAATATCAATATAGACTCTCAATATCTATATAGACTCTCAATATCTATATAGACCCTCCTTCAACTTTTTGACAACTCTTTGTTGTCATTAAAAAAAATCACAAAAATCAAGATGCAATCTGTAAGCAGAATTTAAAAATGATTATAAATTACTTGCTTCGTCTAACAAAAGTGTCCAATGTCCCCAGCTATCAAATTGGTTTTAAATTTGAAATTCTTTATAAAAT